AAACCTAAAAGCTACCTTTCTTAGTTGTAATTGAAGAATGAAACCCTACCAAAATATCAAAATCCCCTTACCAAATCTTTTGGTTGCTTCTTTAAAATGTTTTTTTTTAGTTAAATGTCAACTCTATTATGGCACTACAATTTCTGATGCTTCTAATCATTAGATTAATTGTGGCGCTAAAAGCTCTGCATGCTACCAATTAAATTCTAGATGCATTAACCAAAATAACAAAATGTACACAAAACAAATCTCTATCTTTGATCTCCTAAGGTTGCAAATCTAATGATAGAGCAAGTCATAGGAATTTTCCACCTTCTTATTTTTATATTCTAGAAGATGAACCTGGGCGTAACTGGTAAAGTTGTTGCCGTGTGACGAAGAAGGTCACGGGTTCTAGCCGTGGAAACAGCCGCTTGCAGAAATGCAGGGTAAGACTGCGTACAATAGACCCTTGTGATCCGGCCCTTCCCCGGATCCGGCGCATAGTGGGAGCTTAGTGCACCTGGCTGGCTTTTTTTTTTTAATTCTATTTTTTTTTCTTTTTTTCATTCCCTTATTTGTGCCATTCTTGTTTTGTGCATGCCATTGTGTTAATTTGGAATTTTTGCGCAATTTTCAATTTGCTTGAATTCGCAAAATGCAGGTCTTGCATTGTCATAATTAGTTGCATATAAAAAAAAAATAAAGGTATTTGAATTCTGAAAAAATTGTGGAAGTTGAGTTATATTTGGACATGAGTAAGTTCAATTGAAAAAAGTTAAAAAGTGCGTGAAAATTACTATTTCACTCGAACTAGTTTTTCATTATTCAGAATATTGAAATGCAACGAAAATAATTATGAGATCTCACGATCAAATTTCATCGGAGATGAAAACCATTAGATAATTCAAAAAAAAAGTTTCAAATATTTAACCTCAGTGTTTACAATTATTTATCTAATCTTGAAGTACTAGCTCATTGTTTTCATATGTCAACTTCAAACTGTTAAACTATGGTGAAATTTAGGGACCAAGTTGTCAAAAATTAAACAAGTAAATTAAAGTGACCAGCTAACAAGTGCCAAATTGTCAAAAATTAAGAGGTAAACAGCTATAATCTTCACAACCACCTTATTTCCCCACATGCAAATTCACCAAATACTGATTTATACAACTTGTTGCTTTCAAAAAAGAATAGAAAATGACTGATTGTTTTTGAAAGAATTGATGAAATATTTTCCTCAACCAATTGTATTCACTTTCTGGAATATATATACATAAACCGTAGCATACATCTAGGCTATCAATAAGGAAACTAATTATGCCTAAATATATGCATACCTAAAATACAATAACAAAATATATTCTAATTATTCCTAAATATATGCTTACCTAAAATACAATAACAAAATATATTCTAATTATTCCTAAATATATGCTTACCTAAAATACAATAACAAAGTATATTCACATATATCTTAACACACCCCCTCAGTCGAAGCAGGAGGTTGTCGGACACTGAGACTGTCACGAAAATCTTCAAACAAAATTCGCGGTAGGCCCTTAGTAAAAATATCCGCAATCTGATATCAGGAAGGGACATGTAGAACACGAACCTGACCACGAGCAACCTTTTCTCGTACAAAATGAATATCCATCTCAATATGCTTGGTACGTTGATGTTGCACCGGATTACCCGATAAATAAATAGCACTCACATTGTCACAATAAACAATTGTAGCCTTTCTCATCGGACAATGTAGCTCTAAGAGCAAGTTGCGTAACCAACAAGACTCAGATACTACGTTGGCTACACCCCTATACTCGGCCTCGGCACTCGAGCGAGATAGGGTAGGTTGTCTCTTAGAAGACCAAGAAATCGTAGTTATCACCCAAAAATACACAATAACCAGATGTAGAACGCCTCGTATCTGGGCAACCGCCCCAATCAGCATCAGTATAAGAAACAAGAGACGAAACTGGAGATGAGTAGAGATGGAGACCATAATCAAGTGTACCTTGAATATATCGAATAATACGTTTCAGAGCTTGCATATGGTCAACTCGGGGATCATGCATATGTAAACATACTTGTTGAACAGCATATGAAATATCTGGTCGGGTGAAAGTAAGATATTGAAGAGCCCCAGCAAGACTCCGATAAAGAGTGGGATCCTCATAAGTAGTACTAGAAGTAGCACTAACCTTCTCCTTAGTGTCAACAGGAGTATGAGACGACTTGCAACAAGACATTCCGGCTCGCTCAATTATCTGCTCAGCATACTTGCGTTGTGACAGAAACATACCACCCTTATGTCGAGACACTGCAATACCAAGAAAATAATTTAAAGGACCAAGATCCTTCATGGCAAATTCTGAACTGAGAAGTTGCATAATAGACAACCGGAGAGCATGAGAAGAAGCAGTGAGAATAATGTCATCAACATAGAGCAAAATATAAGCCATGTCACGACCCTTTCGATAAATAAATAAAGAATTATCACATTTGCTATTTGCGAACCCAAGGGAAATGACATAATCTGCAAATCTCTTATACCACGCCCGGGGTGCCTGCTTGAGCCCATACAAGGACTTACGCAACAAGCAGACATAATCTGGATGAGTACGATCCCGATACCCCAATGGCTGATGCATATACACTGTTTCTTGTAGCTCACCATGAAGAAAAGCATTTTTCACATCCAATTGATGAATGGGCCATGCCTTTGATAAGGAGAGAGAAAGGACTATGCGAATCGTAGCCGGTTTCACCACCGGACTAAAAGTTTCACCACAATCAATGCCAACCTGCTGAGTTTTCCCATCACCTACAAGACGGGCTTTATGCCTCTCAAAAACACCGTTAGATTTTTCTTTATGAGCAAAAACCCACATAGAACGAATAACATTCACATTAGGTGGACGGGGCACTAACTCCCACGTCTTATTTTTAATAAGAGCATCATATTCGTCATCCATGGCCAATTTCCAATTCGGGTCACGAAGAGCTTCTACTGGGTTACGAGGTAGTGGTGACCGTGTAACCTTAGTAGCATATGCATGGTCATATTTTCTGTTGGGTTTAAAAATACCCCGTTGGCTTCTTGTGACCATAGTGGGCTGTTTGGAGATGAGAGGAGTAGGTGCTAGAGTCTGGGTCGCTGGTGTTGGACTAGAGGGTGGAGATGGGCTTAGACTTGGGGTTGAATTATGAGCTGGGCCAGCTGAGGGAGTCCGGTCAGCAACAGGACTATTTGGACTCGAGGAGGCTGGGCTTAGAATAGTGGAAGTTGTTGGGCTCTCATGCATGGTAAATGGGCCTACATTAGATGATGGAGATTGTGGCGGTTGCATTGTTTGTTGCTGGGACGAATCAGAGGCAATAGGATTTTGTAAATGATGTAATGTATAAGGAGACAAACCATCACATAAGAAATCATAAGATGACGGGGATGGGGAATGCATTTGGGAAAAAGGAAACACATGCTCATCAAATACCACATGGCGACATGTTATAATTTTGTTTGATGATAAATCATAACATTTGTAACCACGGTGATTAGTAGGATAACCCAAAAATACACAAGGTGTTGATCGAGGTTGTAATTTGTGGATTGTAGTAGAAGGAATTAAAGGATAACACAAGCAACCAAAAACCCGGATGTGAGCATAAGAGGGAACCCGTTGATATAGAATTTGAAGAGGGGAGAGGTTTCCTAAAATCTTGCTAGGAATCACATTAAGAAGATAAGTAGCCATTTGTAACGCATGATGCCAAAAAGAAGGTGGAAGAGAGGCATGAGCTAATAAAGTTCGAGTGACATTATTTATAGTTCGAATTTTTCTTTCGGCTTTTCCATTTTGAGAAGAGGTATGAGGGCAAGAAAGACGGAAGGACATGCCATTTTTCTTACAAAATTCCCAAAACGGACCATTGTCAAATTCCCTCCCATTATCACATTGGACAGTTTTAATATTACGCTCAAATTGGGTAAGGATATGAGCTTTGAATTCCAAAAATTTATCAAACACATCTGATTTCCTAGCTAATGGAAAAGTCCATAGGAAATTGGTATAATCATCCAATAACAAAACATAATATTTGTGCCCCATGGAGCTCAAAACGGGAGATGACCAAAGATCACTATGAATAATATCAAATGGCAAAGAAGTACTCGAACTAGAAGGAACAAACGGCAACTTAACATGTTTCCCAAAAATACAAGATCGACAAATGCTAGAACTAGAGAGTTTATTACAATCAATGCTTTTATTACGTCTAAGAACATCCAAAATAGGAGCACCCGGATGACCTAAACGATCATGCCAAAGTGAGGAGGAGATGGCTGCAAAAGATGACGGAAAAGCTTGATTGTTGATAGAAGTGGTAAGAGGGTAAAGGTCGCCCCGGCTCTCACATCTCATTATTGGCACCCTCGTCTGAAAATCCTTCACAGAAAACCCAAAAGGATCAAATTCTACCGTCACAGAATTATCAGTAGTAAATTTGCGGACAGAAATCAGATTTTTAACAATTTTGGGTGCATGTAGGACATTTTTAAGAGATAAGGGAGGGCTAGGGGATGACAATGAAGTGTGACCATAACCATGAATTGGAATAATTTGACCATTACCAACAATAATACCACTATTATGATTGCTCAAATTAAAATAAGACGAGAGATTACCATTAGAGGATGTCATGTGAGAAGTGGCTCCGGTATCCATGTACCAAGACGGATCGGGCGGATTTAGGGACATCGTGTGCATTGCAGACTGAATATCTGTTGGAGCATATGACGGGGAGTGCCCAACTGTAGAACCCATGTAGGCATGCTGAGGTCGTGGGCCAAGGACACTAGGTTGTTGCCCTCTAGGACCCGTAGGATGTTGTTGGGCCCAGCCTTGTGTTGGAAAAGGACAAGGTGGAGTTGCCCAACCTTGCATCCAAGTCCAAGGAGGAAAAAGACCCCATTGTTGCTGCGTACTCCATTGCGAAGACCGCTGATTAGGTTGTTGCTGCTATTGACCCCCACGGTCACCGCCACCACGGCCCTGGCCCTGGTTGCCGCCGCCGGATCCTCTCCCACCGCCGGAACCAGACCGCCTGTTGTTCTTCCGATTGCCATATAGCTTCCCGCGTTGTGGTTTGGTTTCGGTGTTTGAATGTGTAGAATCCGACTCTTCAAAATCCGTGTGAGAGGTTACCATCGCAGATTCTGACCCTGTGGCAACCTCCTTCGCCAAGCCAGCCTCCTCCAATATTACCATTGATCGGGCTTGATAGAATGGCGGCAGAGGATCACTTTGTCGAATCACGGTACCGACACCTCTGTATGCCCGTGTGAGACCCGAAACTAATTGAGTGACAAGCCGACTATCCGATACTGGAGCCCCGACATTCTTCAATTGGTCAGCCAAAGACTTGAGACGCTGACAATAAGCCGATGCATTTGGAAAATTCTCCATTTTGGTAGTAGAGAACTCGGCTTCAAGGGTTACCACACGAGAATTTTTGTTATCTTGGAATATGTCACGAAGCCTATTCCAAGCTTCCATGGCCGTAGCATCGGGCTCAATAATGGTATGCAAAAGGTCATTCGAAATAGTAGCATAAATCCATGAAAGCACCGTAGCATCAAGAGTCGACCATAATTCTTTCTCATCCTCAGTTGAAGGTACCTTCTCTTTGCCTTTGGCCGGAGGAATAATGTGATGAAGGACCTTATGAGAACGTGCGGTAATTTTGAAAAGCTCCGCCCACGTTGAATATTGGATGTTCTCCATCTCAAGGGTAATGGAGATATGGTTTCGGATGTTCGAAACCGCAAGAGCTGGATGGAAGGAACTCTTGTTGTCCGACATGGTGGAGAGAGCAGTGGTGAAGACCACCGAATAGGGTTGCGGAAGGTGAAGAAAAAGATCGAAGAAGAAGAGTAGAAACAATAACTCTAGGAATCTGATACCATGAAAGAATTGATGAAATATTTTCCTCAACCAATTGTATTCACTTTCTGGAATATATATACATAAACCGTAGCATACATCTAGGCTATCAATAAGGAAACTAATTATGCCTAAATATATGCATACCTAAAATACAATAACAAAATATATTCTAATTATTCCTAAATATATGCTTACCTAAAATACAATAACAAAATATATTCACATATATCTTAACAGGTTAATTGTTTTCTTTCAACCATTTTGCCAAGAAGAGGCATTGCTAAGCTATTACAATGTGATTATCCATGATAACGACTAGTCAAAGTAGGTGCTCCAACTTTTACTTGCATCAACACACACCACAAGCCCACAGCCAACAAATTACTAATTGAGTGGAACTTACTATTTAGGTCACCATTTTAGTTCTTATCTTTTGCAGCCTTTTTTTTTTTTTTTAACCATCTCTTTCAATCTGATATATTCATTTTCCACCTTAAATGTGTTTGGAAGTGCGTCTTCTCAAAAAGTTTGCACAAAAATTTGGAAACGTGCACAATGTGTGTTTAAGAAAGTCTTGAAACAACTTTCCAATAAACTTTACGAAATTCGATTTGAGATCTATTGCATATTTTAGTTGTACGATTTCTTTTTTATAAGAAGATATAAAATATTGCCGGTTTGATCATGCTTCTCCAAGGTCAAAGCACTTTTTCTTCACAAAAGAAGTTGTATTTTTTTTAAAATTGAAGTGTTTAGCCTGACTTTTTGAAGAAAAAAAAGTACATTTAAGTAGAAGCAGATAAATACAAATAAATTAGCCAAATANAGTTTCCTCTCTTTTTTCTAATTGTTTTTTTTTCCTCATCTCTTTTTCCTATTTGTTGAAAAGTGGTTTTTTACTCTTATAAATTGTGAAAATATCAATAATATGTTAGAAGTAGAAGGAAGTTCAAAGACTGATTAAAATATTAATTAAGTTAGAAAGTTTAAGTGTCATTATCAAAAACTCCAAGGGCTGGTCTTGTATTACTAATGAAGAAGATTCTAGAAATCCTTGAATCTCTAAATAAAATTTCTACCATTCACCCTAATTAATTAATTTGTCGGCTAAGGTATTTTGAATTTAGTAAATTAGACAATAAGGACTTCATTTGAATATAACAAAGTAGGCACCGTTACAATATAACCAACAAAACTCACACGTTCCTCTCTTAAGTATAGAGGAACTCATGAAGATCATTTTAATATTGACACCATGAGTTTTGGCCATACAAATATTTAATTCGATCAAAATCAAAGAAGACAAATTTGTCGATCAAGTCAATTTTGGCTAAAAACTCAGAAGTCAAGTTTCATTCAAATTAGTTAATAATTAATCATTTTGACTGACTGAATTTAACAACAATAACAACAAGAAACCCAGTTTGATCCCAATATGTGGGGTTTGGGGAGGGTAGTCTGTACGCAGACCTTATCCCTACCTAATGCAGGTAGAGAGGCTGTTTCCAATAGACCCTCGGCTCAGGAAGGGCAAGAAGAAGAAGAGGGAAGCATTGTAAATTTGTCATTTGTTAATTGATAATTGATATCCCCTCTATCCTATACAAAGTGCACTAAAAAATCCACAAGTTACCACCCCCTACCCCATCCCATCCCCAAACATATATATATATATATATAAACTATAATTTTGAACAAGTTATGCTTCGCTCCCAGCTCTTATAAAATTTACTTAAATGGGAAGAAAAAGTTAAATAGCAATGTAAAAGGGTGAAAATTATTTACCCTCTCCAATTTTGTGTTAAAAATCAAACTCCCCTCTCAACTTTGAACAATAATCATTCTCCCCCCTTTATCCTACACAATACCTTTTTTGCCCCTGAATTTGCAATTTCCTCCTCAATTCAATACTTTTTTATTATATGATATTTTTAATGATTTTAGCTATAACTTAAATTATGTAATATCTATTATAAATTGTAATTAGAGTTCATTAAAATTATAAGTAGAATAAGTAATCAGAGTCAATTAAAATTACCTTATCTCTATGATTGTTATTTAATGTAATGCATATTAAATTTATATTTAAGTTATGTTTTCTTAGCGGCGGAGCTAGAAATTCATATAAGAGGATTGAAAAACACCCCAATTTTTTTTTATTTTGGATTGAACTTGTGAGCTAAGATAACTTGGGATGTTTTTCAATCCTCTTATATGAAAAACTCGGATTGAACTTGTGAGCTAAGAAATTAAAATTTGTGAGCTAAGAGAATAGAGTTCATTAATTTCTTAGCTCACAAGTTCAATCCGAGTTTTTCATATAAGAGGATTGAAAAACACCCCAAGTTATCTTAGCTCACAAGTTCAATCCGGAAAAATAAAAGTTGGGTGTTTTTCAATACTCTTATATGAATTTCTAGCTCCGTCGCTAAGAAAATATAGCTTAAATATATATTTAATATGCATTACATTAAAATAACAATCATAAAGATAAGTTTTAATTGACTCTAATTACTTATTCTACTTATAATTTTAATTAACTCTAATTACAATTTATAATAGGTATTACATAATTTAAGTTATAGGTAAAACCATAAAAAAAATATCATATAATAAAAAAGTATTGAATTGAGGAGGAAATTAAAAATTCAAGGGCAAAAAAGGTATTGTGTAGGATAAAGGAGGGAGAATGATTATTGTTCAAAGTTGAGGAGGGAGTTTGATTTTTAACACAAAGTTGGGGAGGGTAAATGATTTTCACCCCAATGTAAAATGATCCATTTGTGCATATCTCCCGTCATTATAAAGGGAAAAATACACAAATAACTATTTTTAGGGCTGCTATTTAGGGATTAATCAATACTTTAAAAACCGTAATTTCAGGACTTTGTGTCCTAAGAAATTAAACTGATAAACTGAAATTCATGACATATTGACTAATTTCTAAATAGAAGTCCTCTAAAATGGCTAGGGGTATTATCACTTTTAGCCCACGCCAGAAACTATTTACATTCTTAGCGGAAAAAGTGTATAAAATTTGTATAATTTTTGTATATAACATACAGAATGTGTATATGTGTGTGTGTGTGTATATATATATATATATATAACATATACAAATATGTAGATGCGCTCGAGAAGACTTATATCTTTTTTTTCGTTGTCATAGTCAATAACATATTAACATACTAGCAATGTTCAATTAGATCGTGATAAGCAAGAGACTATTAAAATTCGAACTCGTGACAGTTGCAATTCGAATTTTTATCTCATAGCCAATGAGTTCGTCACCTAGGTTCACTCAATTTAGTTTTGTGATCATTGATCATGTTTTGACTGTATTTAAAACCATGCCAAAAGGGAAATAATAATAATAAATTTAAAAAGAAACTTTTTTTTCAATTAATAAACTAAGAAAGAGATGATCAGCAAAATATAAACTGGGAAAGCACGAAACGAACTTTAACAACTTGAAGAAAAAGGGAAGCCCATCGTGTCTTGGCCCATTCCCATTTATTCGTTTTGAAGCGTAGAAATGACGTCAAGTAGCCATTTAAAAGGGCTGCTATTTAGGAAGGGATTTTTTCCTAACTATACTATATATGAAATCTTATTACAAAAAATATGCATAATTTGTTAATTACCTGTCCAGTCCACATTTTAACTATAATTTATATACCAATCCATAATTAGGCAGATTCTGCCATTTAAAACGCGCGAAAAAAAAGGCATAAAATCTGCGTTTGATTCTTTCCACATTAAATTCGAAATTTGAAACGGAAAGAGATCTGATTGCTGCGTAATTCTTTCTTTCACTACAATTCAAAAACAACGCAGAGCTTCAGAAGCTTCAACAACGCAATACAAATTGTAGAATTCAAAATTGTTCTTCATCGTCCTCAGTACTCAAATTGTCGAACATATATCTGTTCTTCATCTTTTTTCTCTCAACTACACGAAATCATGTCAAAAATCCCAATAATGCTAAAATTGAATGGGAATTAGGATAACTATGGCAGATTTAGAGATTTTGAAGTTGATGCCATTGTGGTAGACGAGAATGCAGGTTTGTGTAGTTCGAGAATGCTTAGAATTTAGTTTTATGATATTATCTACAAATTTACTACATATATCTACAATTTGACTACAAGTTCTTTATTTGGTGCAGGGAAAAAATATTTTAATATACAGTGTCTCCAGATTGTAGATAAGTTGTAGGCAAATTGTAGTTTACTTGTAGTTTGTAGTTAATTTGTAGATAAAATGTAGATATATTGTAGATACTATATTTCTAATATTGTAAAAATTTTTTCTTTGTGTTTGTTAATGTAGGTGAGGGCTTCAACAGATCATATACATACTGTGTTGGATGGTAAGAAGCGGTACATTGTGTGTCTAGAAAACAAGAAATGTAGTTGTGGCCAATTCCAACTTGAAGAACTTCCATGTGTAAATTGTTTCCGGATTGTAGTTATAATGTAGGTTAAATGTAGTTAATTTGTAGTTTTTGTAAAATTTTGTAGACAATTTGCCGATTAATTGTGGATAACATATTTCTACGATTGGAGTATTTATTTCTTATTTTTTGTTGTGTAATTTATATCCAACTGACAGTTATATACAAATATTACATAGAACTTGGAGGCAAACATCTAAAAATTATGATAAAAAGCTACAAAATTTATATAATTTATACAATCGATTTAATACCTGCTTGGCTTGAAGAAGGATTATCTATACGACGCCACGATATACGTGCAACATGCTTCCTACCCATACTAAAATACAACAATGGACGAACATCGATTAAGAAAGAGTAAACAAATCCACAAAAAATCAGTGATTTTTAAAATCCACTTCTAGAAAAATAGAATTATGAAAATGTACTAATATAGGAAATTTTTTGCCTAGAAAAT